TTGGACTGTTAAAGTATTTTATTTTCTTCCAAATAACAATGAATTATTAAGCAACTATATGCTGCAGAGCACTTTTTATCAAGTGGCTTCTTAAAAAGTGTTTGCCATAAATGACAGTGCTTTTATCTGTGCTTATGATTCCATTGCCGACCTGGAAACATCTTAAGAGATAATCCAGTCTTAGTATTTTCCAAAACATGTACCATAGGTAGTAAGCAAGATGATTTCAGATGGTATGTGCTAGAATTGTTTACTACAATGGTCATGTATTTTCTTTAATATATATTAGAAAAATATAATTAGTACATCAAGCTCAAGAATTCATGGATATCTTCACTTACAATAGGACTAAAGTAGACAGTCCTTATTTAAGGGGGAAAAAAGTGATATGATTTTTAAGCTGAGTGGCAGAGCTGAGTTCCACCCAAGTATAAATCTTAATTTTGTGCTCTTTTCATGAACTTACTGTTTGCCTGGCTGGAGTGGCTCAGCTGGTTAGAGCATCCTCCCATACACCAAAAGGTTGTGGATTTGATTCCCAGACAGGGCACATACCTAGGTTGAGGTTCGATCCCTGGACCAGGTGACCAGGTGTGTGTAGAAGGCAACTGATGGATGTTTCCCTCTCACATCAATGTTTCTCTCTCTCTTTCTCCCTTCCGCTCCCTAAAATCAATTATATGACACTCTTACATAATTGTTTCTTGATCACAGACTCATTTATCAAACCATTTGTAAGCAATGGTGGTGTCTTAAAGTACTAGTGTTATTCTACAATGATAGGCGCGGAATAGGAGATCAATAATGCCTTGATTGTGTGGTTAGACTGCTTCCAACCACTGAAAGTTAGCATAGGAGGAAATTCCTATGGCTCGAATAAAACAATCATAATATATCCTGAAGCCAAACAATGTTTAGATTAATTGCTGTTTGCATTATTCATATCAGCATTTCCCCCCCATGAATGAATAAGGAATCAGGAGATGGTGCACACATAAATCATAGAAACTATAGGCATATCTCATTTTACTGCCATTTCATTTGACTGCACTTCATAAATGTTGCATTTTTTTACAAATTGAGGGCAAGAATCTCTCCACCAGCAAAAAGATTACAACTCTCTTTATTGTGGTATTCTGGCAGTGAAACTGCAATACCTTGAGGTACATAGAGAGAATATATACACAGGGAACAATTCATAGATTAAATAACAGGGATCTTAAAATTTTACTATTTCCAAACCTCTCATTTAACACATGGAAAACTGAGACTCAGAGTGCTAAAATGACTTGCCACAGTCATACAATTAGTTAACAACAGTGCCAGCTCCAGTTCTCATTCGCTCTTTGTGCTGTTCTATGGATTCAATACCAAGGGTAGGGTAATATATACCAGTGTCTCTATCTAAAATTTCTAAACACAACATACTATTGGTCATTTCAGCAAAAGATACATAAAGCATTTTAAAATTACTCTCAACATAAACATGTCTTATGTCTTTATCAAATATTAAAGAGCAGTACCTTCTCTTGCTTTGGTATTACTCCTCCTCCTCCACGGTGTATTTTTCCTTTTCCCTATACTATCTAGTGGGTTTTTTTTTCATTAACTAGCACTACTGTTACACACACACACACTAGGACTCCACTATCCCATCACTACTACTACTACACCTACTATTTAATAGTGGACCCACTGGGTACTTGATCTTTTAAAAAAAATGACGCACCTGAAAGTGTTAAAAAGAAAGAAGAATCCCCCATTCATAACACATACCTTCAAAATAATGGCCAAAATGACTGAGAAAAAACCTGTGAACTAATCCATAGTCTGTACGAAGTTTTATTATAGTTTCTACATAGATTTTTAATTTGTTGGCATATGATGCATTAGTCAAAATGAAAGCATCAGTTGAAATTATTTAAAGGTAACCGTAATGGCCCTAACCAGTTTGGCTAAGTGGTTAGAGCACTGGCCCTCATACTGAAGGGTGCTAGGTTCAATTCGGGTAAAGGGCATGCACCTCGGTTGCAGGCTCGATCCCTGGCCCCAGTCGGGGTCCGTGCGGGAGGCAACCAACCAGTGTGTCTCTCTCACACTGGTGTTTCTCTCTCTCTTTCTTCCATTCTCTCTGAAAAACAATGGAAAAAATATCCTCAGGTGAGGATAAATAAATAAGTAAATAAAGGTAACCATAATGCCTTTAAGTACATTTTGTAAGTGAACTGCTACATAACTGAACACTACGCTTACAGAGAACCTTAACATATTTAAATTTAGGACTTAAACTGGTAACCTATATGAATGTGTATCTGCTGTGCTGTACACCTGAAACTAATACAAAAGTGTTGAATGCCAACTGTAATCTAAAAAATAAGTTAAAAAAAAAAAAAAGACCTACTCTAATACCCCCACATTGTTTCAAAATAAAAATGTGGCCCAGCCGGTGTTGCCCAGGGTTGAGCACAGACTTATGATCCTGGCGACTGAGGTTCAATTTCCGGTAAAGCACGCGCCTGGGTTTCCGGCTCCATCCCCAGTAGGGGGCTTGCAGGGGGCAGCTGGTCAATGACTCTCTCATCATCTATGTTTCTCTCTCTCTCTCCCCCTTCCTCTCTGAAGTCAATAAAAACATATTTAAAAATAAATAAATAAAAATGTAGTTTACTATACAGTGCCATTTAAATACCCACATGCTCTGCCTTTTCAGAATTCTAATAGCTAGTACACAGAGGAAAATCTTCCTAGAATTTGTATCCAAAAGGATAAAGGAGTACATACGTCTACTTTACTATCAAATAGTCCTATTTACTGAACAGCAAATACAAAAAATATTCCATAATTTCACTTCAAATGTGCCTAGCTAGTTTACTTCTTTAAGTTATGCTCTTTCGAACACATAAATCAGATTTAACTAATTCTCAAACTATGTGGAATAAAATTTCCTCTGCTGTCTTTAAAGAAAAAAGTAGTTTAAAAATAGCTCCACCTTCTGAAGAATACACACAGTTGTTCATGGTACCCTTATTTATTTTTATGTATATAAAATTGGAAGAAAATTATTAAATTGAAAATTTAGAATTCCTTTTACTCCCAAAATATCCCCGCCTCCAATTTACATGACACCTTTTCTTCCTTTGGAACATAAAACTGACTCCGTTAGTTTACCCATCCTCAATCAGTTGACAATATTAACTGACTCAGCACTGAATTAGGTACCCTGGAAAGTTACAAAGGAAATATAGGACCCAGTAACTACCCTCAAAGAGTTTATGTATCATCCCATAAAGGAAGAAAAATGTTGTTACTGAAACAATATCCTTGCTGAGAATCTTACAGGCAAAGGTGGAGCAAGGACATTTCCAGGCAAGGTTCTTTACAGTAAGTAATGCCAGAAAGATAGTACCTACTAAATTAAACAGAATCCAAAAGTGGTCAGATCTATTTATGGATTATACATGCTGCTGTGCACTTCTACATTCATGACAGAGGAAGATTGCTTCTGTAAGTAGAGATTTCCATATATCCCTGATGCACACAAAGAAAGAGACATGTACTCCCTGAATGGACATTTTTTACCACTTTCCCTGATAATGTCCTGTTTTGCCACAAATCACTGTGTTTGGTCACCAACATCAGGATCCTAGATTGAGGAAACTTCTATTATGTATCTTCAATGACCAAAGAGAAAATTCCAAAAAGCTTAACAGAGTTAAGAGACTTAGCTGTATCTACTGGAGGAATAGCTGAAGAACAAAGAATAGCAATAGATAATCATCCTTCAAGTATTCAATTTGAGGTTGACAAGTCACTGAAGGCCCCACATTTCTGGCGGCTCTGTAAACTTCCTTTCTCCCTGTCTCCTGATAATGTGTCTTTTCCTCTCCCAAATTAGTTTGTATAGAATACTAGATCAAATATCACTGTGGGATTGAGGGTGGTGGTGGAAATGACTGCCAAGAGTACTTATGTTTTACAAACCAGTGGTCTTCCCATGACCATAAACACCTTAGACAACTGTGATACAATTTGCTAAAAAAAACTGTATCAATCAGCAACTTAATTCTACTTGTCAACCTTTGGGTCTAATTCTATACACCTAAACCTTTTTTAAAAAAAAGTATCCCTACCAGATTTGTTCCCAAACTTTGACTGAAAACTGTCATACACACACGTCTGCAGCATTAAGTCTAGAGAAAAAATGCTGTCACTTAACTGAATCACGTCAAACAACATCAAATCTAGATTTCATTAAGAGGTATTGTTAAAATCGTATTCAGACATCGAAAAGACAAGACTCCACAACGCAATCACAAATACTGTTATGTATTACAACTTCAAATGTTGCCTGCCCCAACTTTTCAAGCCCTGGGACTCTAAATCACTTGGGGTTCTAGCTTAAACTTGAGATACAGTACAAAAAGACCAAAAGTGAAGGGGGGAGCAAACATTTGTTTCAGCATCCGGAAGATAATAGGAATTTTAGAATTACAAAAGGATGGGGTAAAGACAGTAAATTCGTTTACTGGCTACAATACACATCAGACAGAACCCAAGTTACCTAAACAAATATCTTCTTACAATAATTCATTCTTTAACAGCGCAAGAGCGCCAACCATTTTCATGTTAAAAGACGGTTGCTACAAATTGTCAAGTCGAAACGGATGGCGAAATCCTGAACCGGTCTTCGGCGAGGAGCCACTGTGCTTAGAGCATCACACAAAAGACCTGAGCAAACATAAACACGCTCTGGGCCTTCGCGGATTTCGGCCACGAGCCAGGGTCGGCGTCCCAGATCCCCGCACCAGGGAGAGAATGCGGGGTGGGGGTGGGGTCGTCTCCACGGAATGCGCGGAGGAGAGGAACCGAGAAGGAAGGAGCGAGCGCAGCACAGAGGAAGCGCGAGCAGCAGCACACCAGCGTCACCGGCTTCTAAGGCTGGCGACACCCACCGGCCCGCAGCAGGGCCTGGCCCTCCCGGCCCCGGCCCGCCTCCTCACCTCCCTCACGTCCTGCAGACACTCGAGCACCGCCAGGTTGTTGCTCCAGGTGTGCTTGGGACACACACGGGTCACGTCCTCCCTGCAGAACTCTTCCTCCGCCAGCTTCCAGCCCCCGCCGGCCCCGCCGGGCCCCGCTCCGCTCCGCCGGGCCGGAAGCCCACCCGCCGGGAAAGGCGGCTGCGGCGGCTGAGGTGGTTGTTGCTGCTGCTGTTGCGGCGGCTGCTGTTGCTGCTGTTGCGGAGGCTGCTGCTGCTGCTGCTGCTGCTTCTGCTGGAGCTGAGAAGACTGAGGCAGCTGGAGCAGCTGCTGACCCGCCGGCCCGCCGCCTCCAGCCTGTCCTACATAGGGCACAAAGTTGCCCCCCAGGCCCTGGCCTTGGCTGTGGCCTCCCTGGCCCGGTAGTTTCTGGGCCCCAGCCGCCGCGAGCAGCAGCAGCAGCTGCAGCACCGCCGACAAGCGGAACATCCTCCGTACACGTCCACACGCCGCCATCTTGGGTCCGCGGCGAGCTCGACGCAGCCGCCGGCGCCGCGTATTTAAATGAGGGGGCGGGACCACGGGGGCGGGGACCCGCTGGGCCCACCAGAGCCCCACCCCGGCCCGCGCTGACCCGCGAGATGGGAACCGGACCTCGGAAGAGGCCGCGGTCGGAACGGCCCACGCCCAGGACTTCGACGGGCCAGAAAGCCGCGCGCCTTGCTGGGGGAGTTGCTGGTGTTCCTTAAAAAGCCTCGGTTGAGCGGCTTTGCGTTATTCCCTTGGTTGTCACAGAAAAATGAAAAGGAATTGGGGATACCACAACCAAGATGGCCGGTAGAGTGTGTTGCCCGTTCCGTGTAGAGGTGAACTTTACAGGATCAGGTGTACTCCAGAATCTAAGAGCCTCTTCTTGCATCTCTTCCTGCCCCCTTCAGCCTGCCTCAAAAGTCTTTCTTACCCAGAGAAGGCAGCATTGAATCAGGGTTAGGAGCACAGGTTCCAGGATAAGAAAAGACCCCTTATAATCCTTACTCTTCTGCAGGTTAGGCAAGTCCGTTAACTTCTCCGAGCTTTATTCTTATTGTCTGCGAAAGAAAAGGAGGAGCTCTAACGTAAAGTATAACTGTGAAGATTAGAAATGATAATTAATAAAGCGCCTGGCCCACAATATGGAATTCAGAGTTATAGCCAGCATTATACTTGAACTGTGAAGCCCTTTGTGCGTGAATCCTGATTGTAAACCGGTTACAACTTGAGAGGAAAAGAGCCCTGGCCTGGGCAGTTCAGTTGGTTGGGGGTTGTCCCCTGCACTGAAAGGTTGCAGGTTTAATTCTTGGCACATGCCAGGGGTGCTGGCTTGATGCCCCCCCTAGGGCTATGCAGGAGGCAGCCAAACAATGCTTCACTCTACATTGATTCTCTCCTTCTACCTTCCTCTCTCTCTCTAAAAATAAATTTAAAATCTTTTTTTTTTTTTTTTTTAAAAAGAGGAAAAGAAAATTAAACATCTTTGAGGCCTCAGGTTAAGTTTGTGCCTGGGAAACTGTTCTTGCTGACTTGTATGCAGCACTTTAGACAGGTATTGGTTGTTTCACCTCACACCAGTGTCCCTTCCTTCTCCTTAGGAGAGATGATATCTTCCCGAAGCTTTTTCACATTCATTTTGTCCTTTGAGCCATGCATCAGGACTGGGTTGGGTTCTAATTAAATTGAGGGAGATGGTAACAGTTCTGCACAGCAGGATTAAATGACCCACCCAGGATGAACTCTGCCAGCCTGGGACCAGAATCCCTGGGACTTCCTACTGCCCTGGTGCACTTTTATTCTACTCTGCCAATCCAGCATGTTAGGGAATGATAGCAGCTTGGAGCATGTGATACCAACTGGTCAAACATGCATAAAAATGCAGCTTTGGCCCAGCCAGCGTGGCTCAGTGGTCCAGTGTCAATTTATGAACCAGGAGGTCATGGTTGAATTCCCAATCAGGGCACCTGGTTGTGGGCTTGATCCCCAGTGGGGGGCGTACAAAAGGCAGCCAATCAATGACTCTCATCATTGATGTTTCAATCTCTTCCTTCCTCTCCCTTCCTCTCTCTGAAATCAATAAAGGGCAGTAAAAAATGGGCAGTAAAAAACAGATCACACATAACTAGAGCCTGAGATGTCAGATGGGGCTCCATAAAGAGCCCTTGAGACTGAATATTATGGAGGATACAAATTGCCCACTGTGGCTGACTCCGGGTCTCCATCTCTGAGAATGAGGGCATGTTGGCATCTCCACCAACACTCACATCTGCTACTTCCATAAAATGGTACTGAGACTTCTGATAACCTTGAGCACTGACTATGGCAGCCCAGGGTAGACCAAATAAATGTACATATTCAATAACAAGTACATGGCATAGGTAAGTCTCAATCAGGCATGGAAGATACATCACCAGAAGTTCTTTAAAAGTCACTAGGGGCCATTAATTTTCAACGATGGAGCTGCATGTACTCAGACAAAAGTGGGAGATCACTTCAAGCCAGTTTAAGGCTAGAAATTGCCAATCTGCTAAGAGAATCCAGCAGTTGCCTATCTCTCAGCCTGCAATGAGGAAACCCTATGCCCAGCAACAGATTGCCTCTGGAGATAGGGAGGCGTATCTTAAAATCTCAATGACCAAGGAGCAAGAAATCATGAGAAATCTGGGAACCTGGCCAGCTCAGCCTGTGGCAGCAAGCCTAGACCTTCCATAAGGCACAATCCCCCAAGTCAGTGGAAGGAAGTTTGACCTGATCTGGGTCTTGTGGCCTCATTGACTTTTCAAGATGAAATATACTACCTCTGTCACAGACTAGGAATTCATTTACCCTTTATTGTACCCTTAGTGTTTTTTTGATCCTCACTTTTCTAATTCATTCAATAGGTATCTGTTGAGCATTTTTTTACAGGCTAAGGCATTGCTTAACAACTGGCTTATATGATAATAAGGCAGTAAACAGAGAGCAAGATAATTTCAGACAGTGTTAAGTGCTATGAAGAAAATCAAAGATCTTTTTTTTTTATGGGCTGAGGTTGGGAGGAGCTTTTGTATGAAGGCAGCTAGGGAAAGGCTCTCTGAGTCATAAGTGAGCCAAATGGCATAAAGATAACAACCATGTAAAGAACTGGATCTGAAGTTGTTTTAGTCTGTTCAGGCTGCTATAACAAAAATACCACAATCTGGATGGCTTATAAACGATCTAAACTTATTTCTCACAGTTCTGGAGGCTGAACTGTGCTAGCTTGATAGGTGTGTGACAGAGGCCCTCTTCTAGGTTGCAGACTGCCAGCTTCTCACTGTGTCCTCATATAGTGGAAAGGGCTAGAGAACTCTGTGGGGTCTCTTATAATAACACTATTCCCATTCAAGAGAGCTCCACTCTCATGACCTAAGCATCTCCAAAAGGCCCCATCTCCTACTAATACCATCACATTGGGGATTAGGATTTCAACATATGAATTTGGGGGGGGG